AATGGAGGAAGGCATGGATCCCAAGAGGGGATCTGAATGTCATCCTAGCTTTGCCACCAGGCGTGAGATGCATCTGTTCAGGACAAACTGATTAAGGAATTCCCAACTCACACCCCCTCCCCCACCCCAAGCTGTGCGCTGAGACAAAAGGCACGAAGTCATACATGGTGAAACAAAGGAAGGAATCTGAGGTCAGGGCCATGAGAATAAGGGAAGTTCTCAGTACTTGCTAAGGGAAAGGGATCAAGAATCAGGAAAATAGAAAGTATTTCACTAGAGAGGAAGACCTTTAAGAGAAAGGAGAAGGGGACCTAAGAATGGAGAGAGAAGGCACTGCGGGAGGAGAAGGGGAAGTAAAGAGGACTAAAATGTGAAATGTACCTGTAACATCTTTCCACAGTGTATTCATTCAGTGCGAATCATATCATATTAATAAGCAAAAAAGTATTTCACGTGTAGTTTTCACATGCACCCTCGTCTTTGATTAACTGGATAAAATTTATTATCTTTCTGAGAATTAAGAAATCTTAATTTGGACCTATTTCCTGTTAGAAAATGTTAAATTTTACTACAGTCTTAATATTTCATGCTTTTGATAGTGATGGCAACTGTGAAATACACTTAAATTTAAACCAAAATTGTCTTACCTTGATAAAAGGTAAGACAGCTAAAGTGTTACAGTTAAGGTGTAACAGTGAAAGTCTATCAGGAGATGTAAATTTAAGGCCAACTCCTATAATGATTTAAACAGGGTGTGGTTTTAAAACGACAAAAAATAAAATGCATTCATTATGGTTCGAATGTATATAGTAAAATCAAGAATTTTATTACATTCAGGTAACATATGTGTGCTTGTATGTATGTGAACCAGAATATGAAACTAGACTCATGGTATGAGTAGAGAAATATGAAATCAAAATATAGTTTTTAATAATTTGGTTTTTTTTTTTGGTACTGGGAATTGAGCTCGAGACTTGCACTTGCCAGGCAATTGCTGTGCCACTGAGCTATAGCCTTGGCCAATCAGCATTCAATGCTTTTATTCCAGAACATTTTAAATGGTACAAAAGCTTGAAGTTGAACTGTAGATTTTGAAGTAATGTTATTACCATTTTGAAGATTAAGATATGCTTTCAAAAAGAGGGATATCTCAATCTGCCTTCCCTCCCTCCCTCCCTCCCTTCCTTCCTTCCTTCCTTCCTGCCTTCCTGCCTTCCTGCCTTCCTGCCTTCCTGCCTTCCTGCCTTCCTGCCTTCCTGCCTTCCTGCCTTCCTGCCTTCCTGCCTGCCTGCCTGTCTGCCCTCCTTTTTTGTTTTCCTTTCAAATAGCAATGTTAAAAATGACCTAAAATTGCTATTTATCTTAGACTTGTCTTAAAAGATTACTTTAAAAGAAAAAAATATCAGCAAGATTTGCCAAAGTTGAGACATAATATATAATAAAGTTTGGATAATATCAGAGGTTAGCAAGCACAGTTTGAATCTCATAAGCTTTCTAACCAAATTAATGACTGATTCTTCAAAAACTGACACCATGTGAAGGGAAATATAGGCCATATACTGACAACAGGATCTAATCAAAACTGATATACTCGTTGTAAATAATGGGCCTTTGAGATGCTTTAGAAATGATTTTTTTTTCTACACATTTGAACTCTCTCCAGTGATTCCTTGTGTAACAGCTGAAACACTCATGTTCACAAAATAAAGAGTAGAATCTCTCATGGATTTGTGTATGTATATCAGCTATTGGAATGTATATACTGTAAAACAATTTATGAATAGTATTTACTAATATTAGATAGAAGAACTTCAACAAATGACTTGCACACAAGATGTCATTTTAATTTAATATAGAATGGAAGAAATTGGTATTGTATTCTGGGAAGAAGCATAGAGATCATCCTCCATTTTGGAAAAGAAATTTTAATTCTCTCTTTATATTTAAGTTTTAAATGAACACATTCCTTCTTCTTTTACTCCTGTCATTAGGATGCTAATTTAGCCTTCTCGTTTTTGCTTCATCCCATTTGTGGAATCACACAAGATAACTGTTCCATGGGGGAAAAATGAAGCATGTGAGAAGACAAAGAAACTAAGTAAGCACCACCCTCCTCCTACAAATGATCTTACTTATAGTCACAGCAGAAATAGTTGGTGATATCAGAAGTTTATGCCAAGGACTCATTCAATAAGGGCTGATATTTTTAGTAAAAAGTATAACAATGTGAAAATAGTCAGCAACCTAAAGGAACAAGAATTTGGAATATAAACAGTTTTTTTATGGTAGTCCAACTTTGGTTTAGAATTTTGGAAAAATTACTTTTTTTTAATGGTAGTACATTTGGTTTAGTATACTTAGATTTATACTAGGACATTTTGGGGGAAAATATATAAATATGTGTATGTATATCAGCTATTGGAATGTATATACTGCAAAACAATTTATGAATAGTATTTACTAATATTAGATAGAAGAACTTCAACAGCATGTAGGAAATTGACTTGTCAAAATTTGACTTCTTTGGGGATACAAGAATGGTTCCCTGTTAGCAACTTCATTTGTAAAACACTATAAAAGTGAGAAATGGTACACTGGAGTCCTGACAAAGCATTTTGCAAATTTGTGTACCCATTATAATAAATGGAAACAGCCTTAAAATTATAAGCCACCTAAAACATCAGCCATAGGCCTTTATTTTAATGAATAGGAAATACTAATAGCTTTTACACAAATATCAGGAACAAGGCATGATAATGTTCACTATATTTTTAATGATACATTGGGGTAATAGTGACACACTGAAAGAGCAGAAAACTATTAGATGAATAAAAATTGGAAGAAAACATGTAAAATCGCCATTTCATATGATACTTTAAAAAGTCATGATAGTCAATGCATAGAGTCTTTGTGAGCTGAGACAATTCACTATAGGATGGTATAAAATTAACAAAAGATCAATTGTCTATGTACATACAAATTGATCAGAAGATAGAAGAAAAGCAGAGATCCCATTTATAATAGCAACAACAAAAAATATAAATGCCAAGAAGCAAATTAATCTGCTGAGAAAAAATATTGAATACTCCTGAAAGACACAATCTTGGACTTACAATATGGAAACACATGCCTTGCTCTTGAATTGAGGGACTCAACAGTACAGTGACAGAAATTCCTTTCATGTTAATTTATGAAGTTAATAAAAACCCAATAAAAACACCAAAAGGATTTTGTTCTGAATTTCAAAAAGTTGCTTCTAAAGTTTATATGAATATAAGAAAAAATCCCAAAGCCCTAGAAATCAATGGAGTACACTGTACCATATATATATATACATATAAATTTTAATTAATAAAGGAGTAATAAATTTAAATTAATAAAGGAGTACACTGTACCATGTATATATATATAGTGTGTGTGTGTGTTCTAAAAATAAATAGCTATCAGAACAGAAAAAAATAGCATCTGGAGATAAATTCAAACAAAGAAGTTTAGAGTGTGATAAACTTTAGTATGCGATCTTAAATTATTGGTTAAAAGGTAGAATTTTTAGTAAGTGAGGTTAGAACAACCAGAAAGCCTTTGATAAAAAAAAATGCATACCATGTACTACACATTAAAATAAATTTAAAATGGATCAGAAATCCTAAAGAAAATTATAAAATTTCCATAAAAAAGGAATCAAATTTATTTATAACCTTAGAGTGATGAAAGCTTTTCTGTTATGACTCAAAAATTTAGAAGCAAAGAAAGAGAAAATTTTCTTTAAGTAGTTAAGTAGTCTTTACCAAAGGTGTAAAACAACAAGAAAAAAAAATTTCTATAGCAAAAATCATGCAAAAGCAAAAGATGGATTATTTTATAGGGAGCTATTTGCCACTCATTTTACTAAAAGGCATGAAAAAACCATAAAATAAAACTTGTAAAAAAATGAGCATTTAGCTGGGCATGGTGTCACACCCTTGTAATTCCAACACTGAAGAGGCTGAGGCAGAAGGATTGCCAAGAGTTGAAAGTCAGCCTGGGATACATGGGGAGATTCTGTCTCAGTAACAAAACAGAGAAAGGAAGAAGTGAACAGTCACTGACAGAAAAAGAAATGCCTATGCTGCTTAAATATGAACCTCACTAATAACAAGACAAATATAAACTAAAACTACTCATGTATCTTAATGACAAATATGTAAAAAACTGGGGCTGGGGATTTAGCTCAGTGGCAAAGTGCCTGCCTGGCAAGCGTAAGGTCATGAGTTCGGTTCCTGGTACTGGAAAACAAACAAACAAACAAACAAACAAACAAAAAAATGTAGAAAACTGACTGAGTCAACTATGTTGTCCTAGGTTTGAAGAATAAATGCATATATTGGTGCTGATAGTACAAAATCTTTCAAACTGTGTATAGGGAAATTTGAAACTATCTGAGAAGACTAGGCATGCATATACTCTTTGGCACAGGAATCTCATTCATGAACCCTGAAAATACTTTTGTCCAAAAAATACATACACTCACATGAAAATATGTAAGCACAAGATTCTGATATTAGTTTTAGTAGCTAAATTTTGAGAACAAACTAAATATCCATCTGTTGGGGATTAGTTCAATAAATTATTGCATATCCAAATCAAATGACTTGCAAATCAATTGAAATATTTTGTAAGACAACAATGAGTAACATTAGCTATAGATTTCTTTTTAAAAAATTTTATGAGTTTTATTATATTATTGTTGCTTAACAAGAAAATAAAATACCAATAAAATATTAAAACAATATGTAATGAGTGTGTAGAATAAATGTCAACATTTTCAACATCAATTGTTTATCTGCCTACAAGATCTAAAAATTAACAGCAGGAATAAATTCCTACCTGAATTACAACGCAACGTGTATTCCTCCAAATGTAAATATATTTTTTGAGAACTGAACCACAATGATAAATGTATTAAAGCTACTACCATAGCAGAGCTTCAAGAGCCTTAAGTGAATATTGCTTTTACTTACGGTTCACAGTTTTGACTGGTAATATTGGGTTTACCCTCTCTGGGGAGGCAGTGCTGTCCTCGTCCGTCACATATTCAAAGTTAATGATGAACATCATAGCCACACCCTCTTGGTTTTTCACTGGAATTATGTGGGTATTACAAATGAAAGTAGACCCTAAGGAGATGAAAAATGAGTGTTAGATAAAAACTGTGTCTTCATTTTGAAGTAGTTATAATATTAAATTTAAAATACAATCTTGCAGAATATGCTATCTTAAATAGCTGCAGAAATTCAATAAAAATAATTTAATTCTTACTTCATATTTTGTTGCATATATATTTCTTTATACATGAAGAAAGATACATAAATTTTTTAGGGGAATTAAGTTAGTAGCTATGGAAAAACAGCATATGAAATTATATTAGATTTCATACCTACTCCCATAAGAGTTACTATAGGAAAAAGAAGAAATATTAAGTTTCTAGAAAAAAATATTAGCCTTTCTTTATATATTTATATCAAATTTGAACTTATATAAGATATAATTGCATAAACAATAAATGTAACTCATATTGTATTTTCTTAATTTTTTCATTAAGTTAATTATGTCTTTTTTTCTCCTTCAATTTCTTGGACATAGAATAGTAAACTGTCCATTCTGTCTTGGATACCTTTCAGTAATTGTTCAGTATTGGCAATAACCAAATTACAATATTTTATTTGTTTTTTTTTAATCTGTTAGAATATAAGAACAAATTTTTGTCTGGATTGTCCTTTTAATTTGATGCTTTACTACTTCAGCTACCACCATTGACCTGTGACATCTTTTAAATCACTTATCTTCTGATGGAGAAGATTTCTACTATTCTCTTTAAAAATGACATCTAGTATTCTCTGTTAAGATGACTTCTAGTATTTCCTCAAAGCGATTTCCTCACATCCTCAAAATTTGAAATTTTTCCTATCATAGTAGTAAAAATCTCCAAGTTGGGGATCCACTGGGGCTCAAAATTATTGTATGAACTATAATAAAAATATGGTGTGTATTTATATAAAAATGTATTACAGTAAAATATTGCCATTAATAACCCCCCAAAAACACTACCCTCCCATTAAACAACCTTATGTTATCTTTCTTGCCACTTTCTCAAGAGTTCTGGGAGTGCACTTTTTTGAGTGTCTTTAGTTGTACTGTCCTGCTGCCCCTGTACCCTAAGTCAATTTAAAATATTTATATTCATGGTCATTTTGACTTTGGGGAAGAATCTGAAGTTCCAAACTGCACAGTGTCAGATCCAATGACTGAGTTGGATGATGGAAAACTCTAGTAATTTTACCAGCCTGCCTTCTCTTTGCATGGCATTTGGCAGAAACATTTACCCTTTGATAAGAACCTATAAAGGCAGTCGTGAAACAGGGCTTGAAGAACTGCTACACGAAGCAGCAAGAACGATACACAAGTGTGTTTGAAGAAAGAGGGAGTGTTCTGAGGGGGATTCAGGGCGATGTGTTTTTATTGTAATAACTTTTATTTAAACATTCATTGTAAGTTTTGATCACTTCTTGTATTTTTTAAGTGTAGAAACTTTAGGAAGTGTTCTTGCTCTTTCAGAAAATAGTGTATATTTTGATTTTTTAATTGGCTGAGATCATTTTTAATCTATTAGAGGATAATCATTCAATGTACAAGGAGAAGTAAGTCCAAAGCAAGGCTGGTCTGGCAGGAACTGCAGAGGCTGAGTGTGGGGGGACATGGGCGGCAACTGAAGGGTGCAGTTAGAATCCCCAGCATTCACAAAGGGCAGTGGATGCTACTCTTTAGAACTGATACCCTTCATCTCTGACTATTAAAAAGGAAGCACATAAGAGATAAGCCTTTTTCCCCCTCTGACTCCTGCTACCAGAGATGATAACAGAATCTATTATGGAAACTATTACACTACTCTAGACCAATGACATCAGAAAGAACAGCTTTTGAGGGTTGGTTTGGAGATTTAAAATGACTTGTGAAAATGTGTCAATGGCTAAATGTGTTCTGGTTGCCAAAGAACTGATTTACAAATACACTTTTAGAACACAGACTGACAGATTGTTTGTTAGGGATGACATTGTTTTAGTTATAAGTTTGATTTCCAAATATGGATAGACTCTTAAATTTGAAATAGAGAAGTTATTATTCGTAACTACCTTCATATATTATATAAAAGTGGTCCTGGCTTTAAAGCTGTTGAAAAATGTGCTTTAATAGTGACATACCACGTTTTCAGTTAGCTATATCTTCAATTCATTTAATAAAATAGTTAGCAAGAGCATTTGTCATAGTTTCCATGGTAACAAGCAGGCTGAATTTAGTAAACAGAAAATAAGCAATTTAGGGCTGTTCCATTAGAATTAAATATAGAAGTGCTTCAGGCAGGGCATCACAATACACACTGGTTAAACAGAGAGTCTGAAGAGATGTGAAAAATAGCCATTATGTACTTTTCTAATGAAGCAAACTACATATTGATTTTACCACTTAAAATGACATTTCCTGGATCACTTAGAATATCGTTGTGAATTCACAGATTTGTTGCTTAACGGTTTCAAATCTTTCAACATTTGGGGTATACTGCTGGTTGTAAAACAAAATATAAAACAGATTTTGAGGAATCAATAAATAAAAATGTGTGGATAGAGATCTAATAAGTTTGTACTAGAACAGGGTGGTTTTGCTTTTGGCAATGAAAGGAAAAATCATGCCTTTCAATACAAATGTACGGTTTAAAAATTTATAATCTGGGATTTACAATCATTAAATTATAGTGCTTCAGAAAAGCAGTGTAGGTATATGCATTGGCTCAATGGCATACTGAACAAGTTTAATTAATCTGGTATTTTCTGTCTGCTAGCATGTTTCTATGAAGTTATATATCTCATTTACAGTCATCTGGAGACACACAAATTATGTGTTTTCATTTTTAGTTTTGGGATTTAATATCTCCATCAATCTTGCATGGCCTCCCAGAAAACAGATAATGAAAGGAGATACATTGAATTCAAGAGAAGAGAATAGATCACATTTTATAGTGCAAAAATATTTTAGCTTGGATAATTCACCACCTCCACATTCTGTCAGGATACTACTTTGGAAACTGACATTTCCTAAGATTCATTATTGTGTGCCCCTGAATATTATTTTTCTTGGGAGCAAAAGTAGTGACAGCATAATTCAGTAAATGCTAATTTATCTATAAAGAAAAAACAGACATATACAACAGTGTTTACAGAGAAGAACCAAATAAACTTGGAAAAATGCTTCGTTAAAATTCATATTATATTCAAATAAAATTAATGGGGGTTCACTAACAGCATATTTACAATGACATTATCCATTATTTACAAAGTTGTATGTGCAGTTATACTATACTAATATTATTTGGATTTGGGTGCATTTCTGTATTTTATCTCCTGAGTGAAAACATTCTCAAAGTTGGGTAGGATATTTTGGAGGTACAGGGATCATTTAAAATCTGTTTTAGCATGTGAAATTTTTAAATGTTGCCATTGAACAAGGAAATTCCGAGTCATTCACATAATTATGAAAATTACCCCTCTCTCGGTAAATCATTTACCTAATAGTAAGTTCAGGAATCCTCTTTATGAGCTGCTTTGCAGGTGTTTTTTGTTCCTACTGTCTATGATGGATGTTTCTAAGGCATCTTGCATTCTCAAGAAAAATCAGAGAAGCCAGTGGGACTGGGGTGGTGTGGTGGTTGTGGATTAGAGTTAGATTTGGAAAGCTGGTAAGGTCAAAGGTTGGTTTGTTTCTGCAAGAAGCCATGCCATGTAGAAGTTTAAAGTATGGATCTGGAGCTTTTCTCTCAGACATAAAGGCCTGGGAGAAACTGCATGCTATTGCCTCATTTGACTTAAAACTCCTCCCATGTGTATGTAAAGAAGACCTGCTAGGGAGGAGGACAGGATGGAAGCAAGGAAAGCATGTTGGGAAATACTGTGATACAACTGGCAAAAAATTCTAGTATTTTGGAGTAGGGTGATGTGACTGAAGGTGGTGAGGAAACATCCATTTGAGATGTCAGGTTTTCCCTTGCTGGAACTACAAATACCAATATCTACAATGTTTAGGAGGAAATAGTTTATTTGGCTCATGGTTCAGAAGATTCACTTTATGGTCATTTGGCTCAAAGGCAGGTATAATGTTGTGGAACAAAACTACTCAGTTTATGGCATCTCGGAAGCAGAGCAAGAGAACAGCAACAGAGAGGAAGAGGTGCAGAAAGGACTGGGGACAGATATGGTCCCCAAGGTCAGCCTTCCATGACACATACAGAGGTGTGTTTTACTCATCCCTTGGGTAGCTCACAAGCCAATCAAGTTGACAATCCACCTTATATGATACCTTCCACCTCTTGTTAATTTGATACCCAAACACATCTCGTTAAACCACAGTTAAATTTCAAATAAACAGAAAGTTAGAATTCTATCTAACTATTTCACATAAAATCAAGATGCAATTATTCCTTCTCCTAATATTTTTTTTATTTTAAAGAGAAAAAACCAATAACAAAAAACAACAACAAAGACAAAAACAAAACAACACAAAAATAATAAAAATGATACAGAATTTTAAAACAAGATGATAGGAAGTTAACAATGGTTGTTATATTACATATTGTGATCTTCTACAAAACTACTCAGATTACCAGATGTAAGAATGTAAGACTGAAAAAAAAAGAATGTAAGACTGATCAAACAAGCGAAGACAATAAAAATTAATAAAACAAAACATTAGAAATGATGCAGAGCTTTGCTAAACAAGATGGTAGGAATTCAACAATGGTTGTTATATTGCATATTGTTGTCTTCAAATTAGTTGTTCAGATTACCAGATATAAGCATGAAAAATTGACCAAAAAAAATTTAGCATTAACTCTTCCTTTCAAAAAACCAGTAGACATCAGCAGTACAATTATCCCAGCTATTCTTTTATAGACATATATATTTTTCCATTCCTTCTTTCTTTCTTTTCTCCTTTCCCTCATCCCAGTTGTTCCTTCCCTTTGAGCAATTTCTTTCCCTTTTACAATATCTATTGTACTTTCAGATTTTACTTACCCTTTCAGGTTCTTACACTAGGGAGACACTATAATGTTACACATACAGGTCTGATT